ATATATAATATATATTTTATTTGTTTATTGGTCTTCACTAGACTACTGAGTTCCAAGAGGGCAAGGACTTTGTCTTGTTCACCACTCTATTCCCAGCACTTAGAACAATGCCCAGTATACAGCAGGTGCTCCATAAATATTTGCAGATTAAATGGCTGGCTGCTGTGTCACTATGGGTCCTGGGAACTTCAATATCTCCTTGCCCTCCTGCTCCCTCATTGGCCACATGGTCAGTGAACAAACCTTTGTTCCTTGGGGAACACAGCCCAGGCTGATGGAACTAACAATTACCAACAGTTTCTGAGCCGGTGATGATGGAATAAGCCCTTTGCTAAACTCTTACACATTATCTCATTAAACCTTAAAACAACCCCCGGGGTAGGTGAGTACCATTATGATGTCTAGTTTACAGGGGATGAACGATTATGTGTCTCATCAAGGTCACATATAAGAAGAATTAGGGTCTTGATTTGAACTGAGAACATTTGGATGCAGAGTCTGTGCTCATAACCATTATGCAAAGAATATAGTTTCCCAAAGGGGCAATGCACAGCCCGACTCACTAGCTCATTTCTAAACTTCTCTGGGTGGTGCCCGTAGCTCAGTGGGTAGGGTGCCAGCCACATACACCAGGGCTGGCGAGATTGAATGGAAGCTGGGCCTACTAAAACAAAAAATAGCTGGGGGTTGTAGTGGGTGCCTGTAGTCCCAGCTACTTGGGAGGCTGAGACAAGAGAATTGTTTGAGCCCAGGAGTTTGAGGTTGCTGTGAGCTGCGACACCAGACGCCACGACACTCTACCGAGGGCAACAAAGTGAGACTCTGTCTTAATTAAAAAATAATTATAAAAGAAAATAAACTTATCTGTAGTACAAGGTTTGTTAGTGGCACAGAAAGCAGTGCCAGGGGGCCTAGGTATGGGGGGCTAGAGGGAGGGTTTCCAAAGTCCCATTTCACCCCTCCCTCCCCATTTTGGGGTCCCAAGCTCCTAACAGCCTGGAAAGAATCCCATGCCAGATCGTCTCCCACTAATTGGCTTAGCAAACCATGATTATCTGGGCAAAGCTGAGGCCCAGTGAGTTCAAGATTAGGAAAAGCAGGATTCATGGCTTACTGCTCTGCTGCCCACAGGGTCAGAGGAGACAGGGTTAGGACTTTAATTGGCTTAAGAGCCCTGGTGGCTTAACAGCTCAAAGGGTTTGAGGGGGAAGGGAGGGATGAAGACAGGTTGGTGCCCAGTCCACAGCCAGCTTCATGCCCTGCCAAAGGACCTATTTGCTCTTCTCTCAGTGATTCACTCTGTGTGTACACAAAGACATTGCTCCAGGATCCTCCCAAATAGCCAATGTGTAGGACCAAGGATACAGCTGGGCTTGGGGGTTGGACAAATCTGTGTTGGCACTTCACATCTCCCTCATCTCCTGGACAAGTTACTTGGCTTCTCTAAGCCTCACTTCCTTATCTGATAAATGGGTATAATCAATAGCCACCAGAGGGAAGGTTTCAGGGTAAGGCGAGATCACGTGCTCGGAACACCTTACATGCGGCCGGCTGAGACATGGTAGGTGTGCAATGTCTATCTGTGAATTCCTTCTCCTCCTCACTTTTCTCAGAGCTTCATTTTATGTTTAAAATATTAAAAATAAAATCTTTCATGCAAAAGAACCTTATCAATTGTGACTAACTGGAGCAGAGGTTACAAAGAAGGTAGGCTCGCAGATGTGTTTCCTTTGGCTGACACTATTTTTTAAAATCTTAATTAGGAGTTGAAAATTGAGAGAGTTCACACAAAAATCCCGATTTCCCATTTCTCTTGAGAAATCAAGACTTGAAGATATAGGGTCCATGATTTCTCATGGCACCATCACTTGGAGCTGGGTATTAGTTTCTCCTTACCTAAGGATCCTACTTGCTCCATAAATACTCTCTTGTCTGACACCCAGGTATCTTATGGTCTGTTATGTGCCTGGCTCCTTGGAGCATTTAAACTTTTGATTCAGCATTATATAAGCCTAATAAGTTGAAAAATATCTGATTAAAATTATTTTATTCCAAACTGGGGACATGGTATTAGGAGGTGAGTGATTGGTCAGTCTCCCAGATGTGACCCTGTTGGACTCAGACACACATTTCCTTTCTCATTAATTACCCCAGGCTTTGCCACTCAGAACATCTATGGGAACATCTCACGTGGTTAACAAACATGTTCTGCCAACATTGCTTAACTTCCAGGAATGACAGTCCTGGCGACTTCTCTATACCTTCTCTGAATTTCCCCCCATTTATCCAGACCCTTAGCCATATTAGAACTCAAAGCTTTTGAAGCAAGGGTATGGAGACTTTAGCTCTGATCACAGACCCAGAGTCAGAATTTTAGAACAGGGAAGGCTCTTAATTTAATCTCATTTCACGCACAGGGAAACTGAGGCCCAGAGATGGGAAAAGCCTTGCTCAAGGTCACCCAGCAATGTAGTGACAAATAAGGATGAAGATGCAAGTCTCTGGACTAGAGTCCGGCCTCCCCAAAATTCCAGCACTTTTCTCACAATACACACCATTTCCCCATCCTTATCCACATAGTTCAGCTCCCTCCCCTTTCCCATTCTTATCTCAGTGCAACAGAAGCCCTGACTTTCTATCATCCTGGAATCTTGGAACCTAAGACTCATAATTCTTCAAGATTGGGGTATATTTTAGTGGCAAAATTGCAAGGTGGATAAGTTGAACTCAGGCTTCAGAAGCAGACAGTCTTTAGCCCCAGCTCGTCCAGTCCCTAGCTGTGTGACCTTGGGCAAGGATGCCCCCTCTCTGAGTTTCCATTCCCTCACCTGTCAAGTAGGAATTATAATGCTAACCACATGACAGGATCATTAGAACAGATCCAGAAGATAAAGCAGAAAAAAGGCAATGAGTAGGCTTGGCACAAAGTGAGTGGTTAATAAGATAATTGTTACAGAACTGTAAATTAGGGCAGTCCTGCTTAAGTGAATGCGTAAGCAAAATGATACAGATGTGATCAAAGGGAAGGGTGGACAAATTGGGAGTATGTATGCCCTGTCTAAATTATTACAGGCCTGTTACTGCTAGATCCAATTGTTTTTAAAGAGAAGCTATGCCTCTGTTTTAAAAACACTATACAAGCCACACAAAACACTTCAATAGGCCACATTCAACCAAAGAGCTATTAGATTCCTATCCCTGAAAAATCATCTCATCCCACTGCCCTCACTTTAACTGGGGGTTAGTAGAAATAGCTAGCCCTCTTATCCCAGAAGCCATGGAACTGAGTGGATGCTTGGCCATTCCAGCTACTCACCTGAGACCCCTCTACCTGTGGCCTTTTTCTGCCTTGTTTGAGAAAAACTCAGTTTATGTTCAAGAAAGAAGAGAAGTATTATTTTCTTGTATGTGGATTCTGAATGAGGGGATAGTCAGTGAGTCGAGGGGCAGCTGGCCCACTTTAGGCTAAAGAAAAAGGGGGATGAAGCTTGGCTACCAAGAATAGGAAGTTACCATTTCAGAATCTAAAAATATCTTTCACCATCTGTCCACTTGGGCACAGAATGATAAATGCAGATTAGTTCCTGGATGTAGACATGAATATTTTTATGTGTCAAGCTAATAATAATAACAGCACCTTGTGTGGCCAGCGATCCACTCCCCCTTTTCCCCCAGGGTGAGTTAAGTGGAATATACACATTATTTTGGCAGACATAGATAGGGAAACCAAGGCAGAGAGAGATTCCACAACACAACAAGGGTGACACAGCAAGTGAGCAGCTGGGACAAACCCTGGGAGTCCTATTTCCAACCCTCAGCCCAGAACTGAATTTTCTGAGTTAGGCAGAATATGTTAACAAGTAGCAGAATAAATATAACAACAGCAATAAACACCCATTACATCTCTAGAGTGACTTTTCCCATGCTTTCCCCATATCTGTTATAATCATGATAATCCATTATATTCCTAAAATGTTACAGTTGCAGGGCATTTACACAGACCTCTCACCCGACCATCCCAACAGGTAAGACTAGTGTAACGGTAAGTCAGTGAGATGAGAATAGGGATTCTCCCTCATTTCATGAGTGAACAAACTGAGGCTTGCAGAGAGGAGGCGGTTTGCCCAAGATCACATAGTAAGCAAGTTCACTCTAGTAATGCACAGTAGGACCTAAACTACCAGAGCAATTCAGATTCAAGAGCAGCCCCCAGGCTTAGAATTCCCCCTCTCTCCAATTAACTCAGCACAGCAGGCATCTTCAATCCTTTCAGAGGAAGAAGCCCTGAAGTGGGCAGCTTGAATGAACCCTTAGTTTTGCTTTACTGTTCTGAGATTAAAGGGCAGCTAGAGGCTATCTAATCTCAGTTTCAAGATTCCAAATCCCCTTGACCCTGTTCAGAGGGGAGGGTACTGGGAGTCATTAGGAAATAGAAGCAGCTTGAGAATGTGTCCCAGCCGGGTCCAGCATACTGTTTTCCCAAATAGTCCAAGAAGTTTAGGCGGGATATTCATTTAGCTGCCTCTAATTCTGTGTGTCTCCTAGAAGGTTTGAAAAGGGCTACAATTCCAAAGTGAGAATCTGAGAGAGCAGCAAAGGACTTCTAAGATCTTTCCTAAGCCCCAGCTTGGCACCCAGGCAGAGAGCAGTGGGTCAGGACTGGAGGAAGCCCTATAGCCCTGTTCATGCCTCACAATTATCCCCTATGAGCCCTAAGCCCTCCTCACACACCACTGAGGATCATTTTCTCTTCCTTCTGCCCTCATCCCCTGCCCTCTCAATGGCCAGATCAGAGCGGATGGCACTGGGGTTGGTCAGGGTTTAGGGGCAGAGGTCAGGGAGGAGTTGACGGAGAAGAAATCAGAGCTGCAGTGGGTGGGGCGGGGCGGAGGTCAGGATAGGAGGGGGCCTGGAAAGGTCAGAGCAGGGCTGGGGCAGCAGGGAGCCCCTCACCACCCCCGCTCCTCGGACTCAGTTCCCTTCACCTGAGCTTTTCCTACCTCCAGACCTGGCCGAGCTGCAGGAGGTGGACGAGGGTCTGCAGCAGCCAGATGCAGAGGCGGCAGCAGCGGCGGCGGTAGGCGCTGGCGGAGGAGGGCGCGGGCCGGGAACCCAGCTCCAGGCTGCCTTCTTTGGTCCGGAAGGCGACGGCGCTGTCCTTGGTGCTGATGGCTGCTTCACCCGAGCCGCTGTCCTTGGTGCTGGCGGCGGGTCCCGGGGCCCCCGCGGGCTCGGTGTAGTCGTAGACGAACCAGCGGAAGCTGAGCAGCTGCACGACAAGCGAGGGCAGAAGCACGAACAGCAACGTGAGGCCGAAGTAGGTGCGCTGACCCTGCAGGTAGTAGGAGGCCGCCAGCCACAGGTCCGTGGCGCCGTCGGAGAAGAACACCAGCAGCGCGCACAGCACCCAGCAGCAGTCCCGCAGCTCATAGCGCGGCCCCGGGCCTGCCGCCTCGACCATGCCCGGGCTCCCGGCCGCCGCCGCCGCCGCCTCCCCGCGCCCGCCCGCACTACCCCGGGCTCCTCCGGCCGCCCCCTCCGGCCCCGGGCCGGCCGCGGCCGCCGCTCCATCCGACTTCGCGGCCATGTTGGCGGAGCAGGAGGCGGGGAGCGACTTCCGGGCGGCGGAGGGGGTGGGGTACCGAGTGGGGAGGACCCTGTGCGGGCGGCTCCCGCCTCCTCCTCTTCCTCCTTCTCCTCTTCTTCCTCCTCCTTTCTACTTCAATTATTCATTCTTCTCGGCGCCGCCCCGCCCCTCCCCCAGCCCTTCAGCGCTGTGGCCGGATGAGGGCCGCCCCTTGGGAAGGCAGAGAGGGCAGGGAGGGGAGAGCATCCCAGGTCACACTATCCTTCCTTCCTCGGAAGTGTAGGGTTCCAACCACATGCTTTCTGCCTCTCACTTCCCCTTGGACACCACTTCCTTCTTTTTTCTTTAAACCCCTCCATCCCCTCTTAATTCATCTCTTGTGCTCACCTCCGGTGGCCTGGATCTGAGGGGGTCTGGGGGACCAGGGACTTGGATGTAAGGGGCTGTTTGCGGGAGCCCCCCAGTAGCCCTGTAGCAATCGGTCAATGATTGCTTCACTTGCTAGTTTCCTGAGTGTTCACAGATTGTTCCATCCGCTTCTTTGATCTTGGAAGGTCCCTTTTCTTATTGTCTTTTGAAGCTGAGAAAACTGCACCTCTGAGGGTTGCTTTCTCTTCCTTATCCTCTCCTTTCCTCCCTCAGGAACTGCCTTTATCTGGCTGTAGCCCTAGTAGAGTAGGCGGAGGTAAAGGGGCAACGTCCAACACGTAGAGGAAGGCATGGGAGGAAACCCCAGGTGGAGGAAGGGCAAGTGCAAAGGCCTGGAGGCCTGAGACTGGAGGGCATGTTTTCAAGGAAGTCTGGATCACAGATCCAAGGGGGTAGAAAGATGGGAAAGGTGGGGCTCGAAGAGCTCTGAGGGATGTGATCCTAAAGAGCCAGAAGGTCGCCTTTATTCATCAGGCAATGGGTAACCACTGCAGAATTTGAGCAGTGGAGTTACGAGGTCACATTGGGATTTAGCAAGAAGACCCAGTAGCCAGAGTAGAGAATTGATTACAGAGAAGCAGCCTGGGGCTGGCTAGAGAGACCAAAGGGACACTGGTCTCAGTGGTTTCAATCCATGAAACGGGGTGGAGTCCTCACACATCCTGGATACCCCCAGCTCACCCCTACCTTTGATCAGATTGAATACACCAGAGCATTTATTATAAAAACACTGGCGTAGTAGTTTCTGTTTGCCTGGCACTGTTCTAAGCATGGTACAACTACTGACTCATTTTGTCCTAACAATTTGTGAGGTAGTTTACATTTTTTTCCTTCCATTTTGCAGCTGAAGAAACTAAGTCACAGAGAAGTTAATTTTGTTCAGTGACACAGAGTTAGTAAAAGCTAGAGCCAAGTTTAAGCCCATAATTTAGCTTCAGAAAAGGCTTTGCTATAGCTCAAAGGGGGGCGGAGAGGAAGGGAAAAAGTAAGGAGGGGAAGAAAGAGGAGCTGAGAAGGGGAGGTGGGAGGACCACCCTGCCTCTGAGTGGCAGGGAAGAGAAGATGAAGGGAGACAGCTGCCCTGGGTCAGGAAGGAGCAGCCATCTGTAGTCCTGCAGCCTGGCATCCCTTTTGTATCCAGGGACTGTTTTGGTCTCAGCAATGCTTAGGAGGTTGGGGTACCAGCTGTTGCCGAAGGCTGAAAACAGAGAGGGAAGAGTTAGTGATTAAGGGATTTTTCCAGCTCAGATTCAAGGCCGACAGCTCCCTATCCACGGGCATGTTTAGATTAGTGGGAGCATTTGTGAATTGGGCTGGAAGGCCTGTGTCTGTATCTCTGCCCTCTCACCTGCATCTGGAGAGAGCCTGACAGAGTTAGATCCCCATCCTTGGGCTTCACCCAAATGGAAGCAACTCCTCTCCCTCTCACACCTCTCTAGGATTGGCCTATTCAAAGACACAGCTGAAGACAAGTTTTCAAGTCTGAGACTCTGAATTTGAAAGACAACCGTCTCATCCTGGCTCTGTGACCTAGGACAAGTCATTAAATTTCTTTTTAGTAAAATGGGAGCTAAGTAGTGCTGTTTTCCTATGGCTCTGATGAGGGTAATTAATGGTAATTATTAACTGGGGTGATGCCTCCCACAAGAAGCCCTCCTGGATCTCCCACTCAGCTGTCTCTCAGAAAAGTCTCCCTGAAACCCCCTTTTTATAAGTTTCCATAACATCTTAGTCTTTTCCTTCTTAATATCAGCACACTGGCAATTTGTCTTCTTATGTTTGCCTGGGAGCTTTGTGAGGTTTGGGACAATTCATCTATTTCTTTCATCACCAAATCTCCTAGTTCACTTAGTAGGTATTCTATAAAAGTCATTAATGAATGAAGGAATGAGTGATCAACCCTAGGGAATAGGTTCTGTTATTCTCATTTTATAAACAAGGTGACTAATTCAGATAAGAGCAGTGACTTATGGAATAATTAAGTGTCAGAAGCTGTGCTGAGAACTTTACTGATATTGCCTCAAACCAGCCATTTTTCAGGAAGAAACTGAGGCTCCAGGAGGTGTTGTCACAAGGCCTTTTGTTAGGATATAGCAGAGTTGGCATTTAAGAAATCTATGCTAGGCTCAGCGTCCATAGCTCAGTGGGTAGGGCACTAGCCACATGCACTGGGACTGGTAGGTTCAAGCCTGGCCTGGGCCTGCTAAAACAAAACAAAACAAAACAAAAATGTCCAGCTGGGCACCTGTAGTCCCAGCTACTCTGGAGGCTGAGGCAAGGGAATCGCTTGAGCCCAAGAGTTTGAGGTCACTGTGAGCTATGACACCACAGCACTCTGCTGAGGGCAACAAAATGAGACTGTCTCAAAAAAAAAAAAAAAAAGAAAGAAAGAAAGAAAAAAAATCTATGCTAAAACATAGGTGACTGGAGGAAATGACATAGAAGGACTTGATGGGATGTCTGAAGTGTGGGTGAGGTTTGGGAGAGACCCACCTGACAGGGGTACTGTAGCAGGGACTCTGCCCCAAAGGAGTTTGGACTGATGTATTCTGAGTGGCCCACCAATTCAGAGATTCGGACTAGGACCAACAAGGTTGGACAGAGAGTTTGTTCTGGGGTAGGGACAGATGCATGTGAGGGAATAGCTTGGACAGAGGCTCTGCAATGAGCCTAAGCCAGGCACATTCAAGCTCTGGCTGGTGTGGAGGGAGAAGGTGAATCATGACTGGTCAGAACTGGACAGGCTCTTTGAAATTCATCCAGCTCCCTGAGCTCCTTTCTCATTTTAAACATGGGAACACTAAGGTCCAGAGAAATGTCCCAGGTTTAGCAAGTGGCAGAAGCAAATCTTGGAGCCATTTCCTAGTCCTCAAGGGCATGGTTTCTGGGATTTGTTGGGAATCACTCTTAGGAGCAGCCTTCAACATCTCTCCTCGCTTAGCCTTGCTGAGGACTCTGTCCTCACCTACTGCACACTCTGCTCTGACCAGTTCTAATAATTTTCCTTTAGTCTCTACTGAAATATGTGCCTATGTAAATTATGCATGAGATCATTGATATAGTATTACTTATAACAGCAAATACTGGGAATTATTTAAATGTCCATCAGTGGGAGAGCGGCTAAATAAATCATGGAACTGTCTGACAATGGCATGGCAGGTTCTCCACATCCTAATACAGAAAGGCTTCCATGGGGGAAGCAAGGGACAAAACGGACAGAACAGGGTGAAGGGGAGTGAACAGGAGGCGGAATACTAACCTATACTTTGTGTGTTATATACACATAAAGAAACTTTAGAAGACATTACTGAAGGCACATTGGGTGGAAGGGGGCAAGGAGGGGAGAGAGATTTCATTATATGCCTATTTATAATTTATTTTTGGAATCATGTGAATGTGTTTACTTATTAATAAAATAAAATAATAATGGGGACAGCTGCCACTCAGCTTCTGTTGATGTTATAATATGGGAATTATGGGTGGTCAGTATGGTCATATTTTTTAATTATTCAAGAGGAGTCAGAAATCTGGAATTACTGTAAAATTTCTTGACTTTTAAACATTGGCTCTGATTTTTTGTCAAACATTTTTCAGGCCAATAATGCAGTGGGTTCACTGCAGCCTGGGGCCCACCAGTTTTCAGCCTCAGCCCTCATAGCTTCCTGATTTCTCAGTCTTCCAAGTCCCTGTCCCCTATTGGCAGCTACAGGAAAGAAGAGCATCTTGCTCTGCTCCTCTCGTGGCACCTGCTAACCTCTGCCTCTGGGACTCTGACATTTGGGGCTTTTAACTCAAGATATGGAAGGCAAAGAGGGGTTATGAACTCTAGATAATTCTCTCCCCCAGGGCCTTGCCGGCATCAAGGCCCAGCTGCCGCCCATCCATCTGTCCTTGGGAGGTAGAGGTGGAGTGGGCTGTCAGGAAGGGAGTGGGCAGGAGTCCCGGATCTGAGCCTCAGATCACTGGATCTGGACAGAGAGACTCTGAGAAAAGAAAAACAGTGGCTGGCTCACCCAGCTGGGGTGGTGTGTGCTGGGGTAATTCACCAAGTTATCAAATTCCAAAGATGCAAAGGCCCTAAGGGATCATCTTGTTCAACTGTCTTGTTGGACAAATGGGGACACCAATCTCTGCTCCCCACAACACTGCCCCAGGCCAAGGCCTTGTCACCTCTCTCCTGGACGACTTGACTACCCCAGCCTTCTCTCTGGGCTGCCAGGAGTCTCTCTTTCCTTGCCTAATGTTCCATCTCCACCCTCAGCCAGAGGGGCCTTTTAAAAAAGGAAATCTGATCAGGTCCTCTGTCTGTTTCTCTGCTTTGCTTCGAACCTCCTGACTACTTCCTACCTCATTATGAGCCAAAGTCCTCTGCCCTGCCTACAGTCTCTCTCCTGCCCACCTCCCTGACCTCACCTCCTACCGCCTTTCCCAGCTGGCTCTGTTCCAGCCACACTGGCTCCTTGCTGTTCTTTTAACAAGCCAACCTTCTTCCTTCCAAGCGGCTTTTGTGCCTGCTGTCCCCCCCAGGTATTCACAATGCTCCATCTTTTTCTTTCCTAAAAGGTTGCCTCTTCAGAGGGATTCTTTTTGATCATTTCCTTCTTGACACTCTCTTTCCCTTCACCTACTTTATTCTTTATTCATAGCATTTATCACCACCCAATTTGATACATATTTATTTGTTTCTTGTCTAAAATGTAAGGTCTGTGAAGGCAGCAATCATGTCGATATTGTCCGCTGCTGCATCCTC